TACGGATAATAAATGGATAGGCTAATTGGGTACCCGCAGATAATGGAGACGGATAATTTTTTACCCGTTTATAAATGGGGCGGGGTCAGGTATGATAATATCCAAACCCGCGGGTACCCGTTTAATATTATTTCTTAAATATCCTAATTATCCTTGTACCATATAACTCTAGAACTAACTCTCTCATTTTATTTTCTCACAAAAGTGAGGTTGATGAAGTTACCGACATGTGTTAAGCATGTTATAAAATTATGTTGGATGTAATTTGATTAATTTTTTAGCTTTGATTGAACCAATAAGATTTATGTATTCTAAGTTGTTTACTTTCATTTGAAATTATGAGATTGAATTATTGTAGCTTTGTGATGAGACTTTAACTTACTTGTGAGATTGATGTATTTTAAGTTATTGATTATCTTGAATTTTTATTATTATTTCAACAAAATTAACGTTAAATAAAAGTTCAAAATTAACATTGAATTTTTATTTTTAATATTTCAATGACATTAAAATATAAACTTAAAATTATTCGTAATATAACTTTTTTAATTTTTTAAAAATATTATAAATATCCATGGATATCCTAGATATCCGTGGGTATTCAAGAAATTCATGAATACCCGCACGGATATGAGGTGAGTATGAGGCCAATTTTTATTCAGCGGGGCATGGGCGGGTTTACTATTACCCGTCCCCATGGGGCCCCATTGCCATCCCTATATATATGAGGGGATTATAATTATATCGGCGTAATTTTTACTAAATTTACACCACTCAATAATTTTATATTAAATGCGAATTTTGTAAATCTAAATGTTAGATTGAAAGTTCATATTTTAGTGTATTTTTAAATGAATATATTATGTCAATTTTGTTTTATAAAAATAAAGTATCAAATCATTTTTAATTAATATAAAATTTTGTATATATGATCTAAGAGATATGAACTTTTAATCTACATTGAGCTGCAATTATATGCACGGGTCGCCCAAGCTCCGAATTGTGTGTCTGGAATCGTCAAAATTTTGATTAACACGGGTGAATAAAATGTGCTAAGTTAAAATTTGAATTTTTTGACAAGCTAATCGCCCAAATGCCGATCTCAACAATGGAAAAATTTTTCCAAGTTAAAATTTGAAGTTTTTTGGCAAAGTAATCGCCCGAATGCCGATTTTAGCAATAAATTGAAAAATTTTCTAAAAAAAAGCTATTCCCTACCTTTCCATACTATCAAACAACATCCAGAGCAATGGGGTATTGCAACCATTAGAAACACATTTGATAAAGTAGGTAACAATTTATGCCATATGCATATAATAGTTTGCATTCATTGAATGGAAACTGGTTCCAAAGTATCACTAAGAGCTACTTTTATATATAAATAGGTAAAGGTTTTGTTTAGGTCTCATTATATTGCGGAAGGTAAGGTAGGTTTTGTCCAAAGCAGTCTGATTTATCTATCTGTGAATGTGGCTACATTATATTCTTGATCAAGTTCATAATTTTGCCTTGTTTCATTCTGAAACGTAACATGCCTAAAATAACATGCATGAACAAAGTTATCATCAGGAAAATATCCCGATCCCATCTGGGGACTGGAGTACCAAGAACAAATGTTATCTAATCAAGTGGGATGGGGTGGGACCAATGTTTAAAAAACTGGCTCGAACCGGCCGATCTGAATCTTAAGTTGGATCGGTTATGCAGTGGACCTGTTTCAAACCGGATTGAACCGGTCAATTTTTCGGTTCAACCAATGAATCGGTGGGTTAAATCGGTTCAACCACTTTTTTTTTTGTTTTTTTAAGGGATCATAA